TATCTTTTGGGCAGCTGTTCCAGTTTTGTCCAAAATAATTTATTTGCCAGCCTTACAAAAAAACATGTTGGCAAGAGAAAAATCAGTCCAATAGGAGCAGGCAAGCTTGCCTTCCTTCTGGTGGCTCCCCGGGGACCATGCCAGAGAGTGGGGAATTAGCTGAGGGCCCCCCAAGCCCAGGGTGGGTCCAAAGCGGAAAAGGACTGGAAGTAGAGGACTGTCCTGAGTCCTCCTTGCCGTGGGGGCCAACCCAGCAGGCACCAAGGCACTTGTAGGCAAAGTCTGGAGGCCTCCACCACTTGCGAGGGGCGAGGGCTGTGTCCTGGGAGGACAAGGTGGGATGGAGGGGGCGCTGAGGGCTGTCAGGGAGGAGCCACCAGCTCAGTCAGCCTCTGAGGCCAGGCTCCTGGGCCGGGGCTGAGGGGGCATACTTGGGGGAGTAGGCACCCTGCCTACAGCCTCAGGGCCCCCTGCCGCCTCTGTGGCCGCCCCCAGGTCCACCTGGGCAGGCATGTTTAGAGAGACCGGGCTGGGGAAGGCTGGACCTGGGGAGGCCTGGCTAGGGGAGGCTGGTGAACGCCGGCTCTGGCGCCGGGCAGGCTGGGGGGGAATGGGGGGCAATGGGGGTGGCACTGTGGGGGCTCGGAGGCTGCTGCCAACCAGACGGCGGGGCAGAGCCTGGGGGGTCACAGGGCTGCCAGAGCCTGGGGACAGGGGTGGGGCTGGAGGGGAGGAGCGGGTGCTAGAGACTTGGGGGGGTCGCATGGTGGGCCGGGCAGGTGCTGGGCGCTTGGCTGTAGAGAAAGGAAAGGGACCGTTAGGTGTCCATACTATCTGTGGCAAACTCACCAAGCTCGATCCCGCCCGAGGACCTTTGCATCTGCTTTTCCTTCTGCCAGAAACAGTTTCCATGGCTGGTTCCTCACCACTCGGGCCTCTCTTCATGTTCCTCCCCCCGCTCAGCTAGAGTACTCCCTGACCCTGCCCCAGTTACTGTCACATTTTCCACTTGTACGTTCTTCACAGGACCTGTTGCCCTCTGAAATGATCTTGCCAGTTTTTTTTGTTTTGGCTTGATGATTGCTTGTTTTCCCCACTAGAACATAAACTAAGTGAGGCCATCTTATGTGTGGCTGACGAGCACAGTGCTGGGCATGGAAGAGGTGTTCTATACACACTTATCGAATAAAGAAATGCTGCCTGTTCCCCCTGACACTTGCATCTGGCCCACTGCCTCTCGAAGCCCACCAGAACGACCCTGCCCCAGAGACCCCACTACATAGTCCTGACCTCCAGAGGCAGCTGAAGGGCTGGGTGGGGCCAGGAGGTCTGGACTCAGGTCCTAGCTCTGCCTCAGCCCACTAGGGGATTTGGGCAAATCACTTGCTCTCCTGGGCCCTCAGTTTCCTCATTGGTAAGATGGGATGAACTCCTCAACCTCCCAGGGCTGACGTGAGGACCAGCTCAGGAGATGCTAACAGTCCTTTGACTTGTGCTCCAGTGAGCAAATATTCCACTTGCCTCCCCGCGTCCCCATCCAGGAAAGGTGGCTAGACGCCCCCTCCTGCGTGAAGGTCTCTGTGCAACCCCACCAGCTCCTGCTGGTCCGGAGGCTCTTGCAGCTGCTGTCTCTACTCCTGGCTCTCCACTGTACACCCAGGTGGAAAACTCTAGAGCCTCTTTGGCTGGGCGGGGCCTCCCAAGTGTCCTAGTCATCCTGGCAGACTTCCCACCTGAACCCTCAGGCTCCTCACCTGCCTGGCTTTTGACCAAAAGGGCTCAGGAGGAGGCCCTTGATCTCCCTTCCTCCACCAGCACCACCTCCTCCCCTCCCTCATTGTCCCGTGAAGACTCCATCCTCCTTCATGCTGGGACCTGTGGGCTTCTTGAGGGACTGATCTCCACTGCCCCCCACACTCGATGGCTGACCTTTATCAAGCATGTACTGTATGAGCCAGGCAGCGCCACTTAATTCTCCAAACAGCCTGACAAGGCAGGTGCAGTTACTGTTCTATTACACAGCGGAGGAAGCTGAGGCAGGGACAGGTGAAGTCACCTGCCCAAGGTCACAGAGCTGGGATTTGAACCCAGAGTGTTAGGCAGTAAGCCTGGCCCTTTGTCACCTGGATTCCTGGCCTCCCGGCTGCCTAGAAATAGGGGACGGTCTGTATTGTCCACGCCCATCCCTGCCCACCCCCTGTCCCCCTTCTCCTACAGCCAACTCACTCTTCCGAGCCATGTCCTCCGCTGGGGCGGCTGCCTCCGGGGGGCTCCGACTGACCTTGGGAGAAGCTGGTCTGGTGGGAGCCTCAGACTCTGTCCTGTGAGGGGAGGGGAGGGTCAGGGTCAGCCTCGGCCACCTCCCAGAAGTCTGGCATCTTTGGGAGACTCCCAGCCAACAGGCTGAGTTTGGGTTCTTCAGCTGTGGCTGGGCTTGGGATCTGTCCCCAGACTAGAATCCCCTGGGAAGACGCTTCTGGCATCAGCCAGGATTTGCATCCATTGAGCCCCTGGCTGTGGTGTGACACTGTGACAATGTCTGCGGTCCCCCAGGGCAGGTAGAAGGCAGGGCCTCCTCTCAGCCTCAGCTCTCAGCCTCCATGTGATCTTTATGGGATGTTCCAACCACTAGAAGCCAGAGAATAGATGAGAAGCAGAGGGGGAGGCCATGGCTCATTCTTGGATTCCTTCAGGTCTCTGCTCAGTGGGCTCCTCCTTGGGGACACCTTTCCTGACCCCACAGCTAAAGCAGCTCCCCACTCAGATCCCCTACCCTGCTCTATTCTCCTTTATATGCGTTTATCGGTGTGCTTGTTGATTCCACCCCCAGGAGCACAAGCTCTAAGGGCAACATTTGTCTGTCTCACTCACTTGAGGAAATTCATGGTTTGGGCCCCAGCAGTCTGTGACAACTGCACAATACCTGCTTGGTATGCAGGCAACATGGTACCACACAGCCATTCCAGAGTTAAAGGACCAAAGGAAAGACTGGAAGGTATTTACAAATTCCAAAACGATCAGCTCCCTAGATCCCTAAACCCCCAGGACATGAAACAGTGCCTGGCACATAGTAGGTGCTCAGTAAATAGCCATACAACGAACAAAGAAACACATCAGAGGCTGGGAGGAACACCACCTCCTCCGGGGCTCCACCCCACCCAACTCCAAACTGGCAAACCTGGTATTTGGGATGAAAATACAGTCATTACGTTTCCTGAAATGCTGTTGGAAGCCCTGAGCGATGGTGCATCAGGATAGGCATCTTGGGGCCAGGACACAGGCCATTCATATCCGTCAGTCCTTACCTTTCCTTGGTAGCCACTGAGGCTGGGGTAGGGGCCGGAGCTGGGGCGGCAACGGGGGTGGGCGCAGCAATGGTTGAAAGGTCCTCAGAGGCAGGCCTGTCACTGACCTTGTCCTGGGGGTCAGGGGCTGAGAACAGGCCTGACACATTGAAGTTGATATCTGCAGATGGAAGAGAGCAGGTCTTAGCTTTCAGAGCCTCTGCGGCTCAGCCAGTGCCAGGACCCTGTTCCCTTTCCCCTGACATTGTCTGGACCATATTTGCTTTCCCACTCCCAAGGGAGCCTCACAACAATCCCACCAAGCAGGCAGGATCACCCCCGTTTTACAGGTGAGACACTGAGGCTCAGCGTGGAGAAGCAATTTCCTCCAGGCTGCGTGGTGAGTTTGCGGGGGCTGCCAGGGACGGAAGCTGGTCTGAAGGGCACTGAGCTGGGCAGAGGGGGCACAAAGGGGCACGTGTACACAGGCAGGAATTTCACCTCCAGGGAAGAGGGTGTCTGCGTTTTGTATCAGAGCCTCCACCACGCCCACCACCTGGATGGACGACACCGACGCTGCATCCAGCTGGGCCTGGTCCCTGGTACAAAAGGGAGTGAAAACGAGTCATCGTTTAGCGAAGTCTTAGTGACCCCAACTCTCTGGCCCTGTGCTAGCCACTGGGGACACAAGGATCAATCAGGTCGAGTCTCCGTTCTCAAAAGCTCACACAGACCACTGTGGACGGCACACATGTCGCTCACACACCAAATTCTTCCTTTCCTTCACCCACGACAGGTATCACCAGTCAGTCGTGGCACCTTCCCGCACAATTCTGGGATCTAGGCAGCCTCTGCTAAATAGCTGCACTCAGCAAATGAAGGACATCTTTTGCCAGCCATGGCCAGGTGAGTAAGAATGACCCCTCACAGGAGAGCACTTTACAGTTTGTGGAACATTTCTCCCTCCATTCTCTCATTTAATTCCCAAAGCAAAAATCCTCAGTTCGTATAATGTCTCTCTACTTTACAAACAAGGAAATGGAGGTCGAGAGTGACTTCCTAAGGCCCATCTTTGGACGGTGGGGTGGGGCTAGAACCGGGTCCTGGGCTCCCAGCCTCCCAAGCACCCCATGACCGCCAGGACCCAGAATGCCTGTCTCCAGAGCCTTGTGGGGTCCGTGATCTCTTTCGCCTGCTCCTCACATTAGCCATGAGAACAGGAGCTGCTCAACCTACTCCAATGCCCAGGAAACAACACGCAGCAGATGGCTGGGGTGGGGACTGACACCTTCCCCCACCCTCGGCCCCTCACCCTTCTTTCTCAGGGGGCCACAGTAGGTTGGGCCCCAGGACGATGGCGATGTTGCTGGGTGTCATCTTGTTCACCTCCTGCTCCTCAGCCAGTTGTGCCAGGAACTTCATGAGGTACCTGGGGGAGACAGGAAGTAGGCTTGGGTTAGGGGTGGGGCATCAAACACCCACAAACTCCCACCGATGCTCTTGAGACCTGAGACTTTCCCATTCTGGGGTTTCCAAAGTATGGCCAAGACACCACACAGGCTGGTTTTTAAATTTTTAAGTTAAATTAGCTAACCTACTGAGTGCCACCTGTGTGTCAGGTACTGCGCTAAGCTGAGAATCTCCCGGCCACCTTACGGAATAGGGACTGTTCCATACTCATGTTTTCTAGCCCAGGCCCAGAGAGGTCAAGTCGCCTGCCCAGGGCCACACAGTGGCACAGGTGGGATTTGAAGCCAGGTGGTGTGGCTTCAAAGGTTCAAGGTATGTGTTTAGTTCAATGTGTAGTATTAAAAAACATGACTAGTGTATCTAAGCTGTTTTCAGAAATATTGCTTAGGACAAGGAAGTAGGACTCAAATCCAGGCCCCAAAGTCCCATTAGGGCCTGACTGTGGGGAGGCCCAGGGGCTGGCTTGGGCTCACCGGAGGTTATTGAAGTTCTCTTGGGGCAGCCGGCTGCACACCTCTTGGAGGGCCTCTAGCCGGGCTCCCGGCTCCTTCAGGCTGGGGAAGGGAGCAGAACTGGTGAGCCAGCCCAGGGGAGCACCTCTGCAGCCTGGGCTTCCCCAGCACCCCACAACCAAGTCTCACCTGGCTGCCCTCATCCAATCGTCATAGAGGTCAAAAGTCATCAGGGGCTCCGGCAGCTCCCGCAGGTAGGATTTGAGGGCACCTGAAGTGGTGGTGGGGCCTCAGATGCAGCCCCCAAGTCCCCACCTCCACCCAGTACCCAGCTCTCTCCATCTGTTAGGAGCCTCCGGCCCTTGTTCACACTAACATGTCTAAGTCTGATCATTTTTTTGGGCCATGGGCGCTTTGGAAAAAACGATGAAGACTAGTGATCTTGTTCCCAGAAAAACGTACAATGTACAACCCATTTTAAGGACCCTATGTCTCCTCAGCAGATTATCAGGCCTCGAACCAAACTGTCATGGGATCATTTCAGGCAGCTGTAACCAAGAGATTTGGGGGACAGCCCTCCACCCAGGACTCCTTGGAGCAGGCACCTGCCACGGCGTGGGGATCAGAGCTGAACTCCTGCAGGCTGTGGGGGTCCGAAGCCATTGTCTGCTTGAGGCGCTTCAGCACCGAGGCCCCTGCAGCCAGACGGAAGAGGCCCTGGGGTGCAAGAGGAATCAGATGGGGTCACGGAGGGGCGAGTAGAGCAGGACATCCTGGCCAGGAGGCCCTGGATCCCGCATAGCCTGGGGTAGGCAGCTGGACCTCGCTGGGCCTGTGCCCCCGATCTGACAGGGAGAGTAGACACCAGCGTCTGTGGATCCTCTCAACTCTCAAGATCTAGGATTCTGAGCAAAGCTGGGAGAAGGGCGTCTGGTTAGAATTCGAAGGGAGAAAGGGAGAAATTCGCAGAACTGTCAAGAAGCCTCAGTCCTTCTTTGGGTAGTTCCGCCGACTAAGGGTCTGTCCTCAGGAAAGCAGCTGAACTACTCGCAACACTGAGGTTTGGGCGGAGGAGTGACTGAACCTGAGTCCCTGGCTTCACCGCCACCTTCTTATATGCCACTGGGCACGTCTACTTCTTGACTTCTGTCTCCCCTTGTAAAATGGAGCCACTGAGGGCTCCCTCCAAGGTTACTGGGATAATTAACTTCCTCAATGCAGGGGGCTTATAGCACAGCGCCCAGCCCATGGGAACATCGCCAAGTGGGAGGTGGTGTCACTTCAGCCACAGGAGGCCATGCCTTCTCCTGGGACCTGTGCTCTGATGGTGGGATTACAGGCACAGCACAGGCAGCATGGGGGAGGTTTGGGAAAAACTCCCTCCCCACCTGCCCCAGTGGGTCCCACCTCTTCCTTTACACCCTCAGAGAGCAGCATCAGGACGCAGGCCTCGATGGGCAGGGCAATGTCCCGGCCCAACTCTTGCAGGTGAGCTCCCAGCGACACCCCATACACCCTGGAGAAGGGGGCGGCCGTCATCGAGGGGGAGGGGTCTGCAGGGATGAGACAGATCAGCGGCCCAGGGTCCTCCCACCCATGGGCAGCCAGGGGCACCCCCCAGACATCCCCAAGGTACTACAGCTTTGGCCAATGGTACCACCTCCCACCCGACCATCCATGCCACACATCCTGAAACCATCTAACACATTTCTCGACTCTGCTCACCGCCACTGCTTCCACCCCAGTCCAGGCCACCATCACTTCCCTTCTGCCTCCTAACAGGTCTCCTGGCTCCAGTCCTGCCCACCTCATCCCATCTTCCTCACAGCAGCCAGAGCAATCTCTCCATCACAAATCTAATCAGGCCCACCCCTGCTCAGAACGCATCTGTGGCTCCCTATCGCTTTTCAGGATGGAGTGCAAGCTTCTTAACATGCCCTGAGCACGGTGGGGATCAGGGGTGTGGGGTTGGGGCCCAACTGCGTCCCCACCTGCTTGGCTGTGGTTCTCCCTCAGCTCAGCAAGGGCTGTGTCCAGTGAGCTCAGAGATTTGCGATGGTAATCGGCCTGAATCTCCATGAGCTGTGGGGACAAGGGGGCACCCCCAGGGGGAGTGGGAGAAGCTGAACCTCGCTCGGGGTCAAGAGCAGATCCCTCCCTCCCACCATCTTGCAGGGGGCCACGTCCACCCGAGGGGTTGAAGCCCAGTCTTGGACTCACGTGGATGAAGTAGTTGGCATATGTGTCCTCCTTGGTGGCAAAGTGGTACAGGTCGGCCAAGTACTCGTCCTTGGGGACAGAGAGAGAAGAGCTTACACCAGTGAGCCTGGGGCAGAGGAGAAGCTGAGGCTTAGAGGTTAGTGATGTGCCCAAGCTGTATGTGCAGGATCCCAGCCAGCTCTCTGCCAAGGTTTGCACTTGGGGACAGCCAAAGGGAAACTCCTCAAACTCTCACGGGGCTTTTGCAGCTTCTAGTCCCCCCTTCTGTGTCTGCATGCTCTTAGCACAGTGCCTTGTTTATGCACCATCTATTCATTCACAATTCATTCATGCACTCACAAATACACCAAGACCCCAGCGAGCAGAGCAAGTCTCTGCATCCCAGGTGTTATGCACATGGTGTAGACAGAGAAGGCGACAAGGTGATGGCTAAGCACACAGACCTCGGAGCCCGACTGCCAGGTTTCCAATCCCAGCTCTGCTGCTTCCTACTTATATGGCCTTGAGCAAGCTCTGTCACCTCTATGCGCTTCATTTTCCTCATCTGTGAAATGAGGACAGTACCCAACTCTGCCACCCGCACACGTCCAGGGAACCCTAACTGCCCCTCACCTTGCACAGCTCCACCTTCTTCTTCAGCTCCTCCTCCTCTTCCTTCAGCGTCTCTACCTTGTTGGCTGTAGTAGTGTGGCTGTAACTGCTTGGTCCACCGCCCAGGCCCTGACTGCTGCCCGAGCTCTTAGCTGCCTGGGTGAGCCTGGGGACGATCCCAAGGTGGGGTGGTCACTGTCCCCAGTGCATGTCCACAGCCAAGTGTCCCCTCCATATGCCTGAGCCACACAGGATTCTGGGATATATTGATGAAAATCCCAGAGCTCCACTGGGGGTGGGAAGCTCTGTGAGTGTTCATGGGCGCCACCTAGTGGGAGGCTTGGTGGTCACAGTCCCCCAGCTCCAGAGTAGAGTGGGGGCCCTCCTGTCATCCAGGGATTTTGGAGGGTTTTTTATGGCTATATCAGGCTTTGGGGTCACCCCCAGCTGGCACAAGCACGTGTACACACACATGCACAGAGGCACCCTCGCATGTACCACTATATGTATTCCTAAGAACCAGACACATGCACAAGTACACACGCTGTACCCAGTGGGCTGTGCAGTCCTTAGTGTGGAAAGGGCCTCAAAGCTCTGTGGCCACCTCCGTGGGCTGGCCTAGGCATGGACCCACCCAGACTCTGTGGCTCCCACCTGCTCTTGAGGGTGTTCCAGTCAGACACCAGCTTCTGCAGGATTTTCTTGTGCTTGAGGATGGCTGGCAGCTCTTCCTGGGGGCAGGCACGGGAAGGGGGAAAATCAGTGGGCTGGGGAGGTGGGAGCTAGAGGCTGGGGAAGCTGGGGGCAGGGCGTAGGGTCACCTCACTCAGCCTGCTGAGTGGCTGCAGGACATCCCTCTCCAGGGTCATCTCAAACTCGGCCAGGATGCGGGCCAGCTGGTTCTGAATGGCACAGCTCATCTCCAAGGCCTTCCTGTGGACATGTCACCCAGTGGGTCCAGGCTCCCACAGCCCTTCACCCCAATCTGGAAATACTAGGTGGACCGTCCTCCTTCCCCGTCGTCTCCTCCCCCTGGTACCTCTCCTTCATCTTCGCTGAGCCAACACTCTCCCAGGCCTGGCTGCCCTCACTGATCTGGACACTGTCCCCAGCCCAGACCCTTTCTCCAGTTTGGTCATCCTGCCACGGTAGCTGTCCCCCATGCCCTGGATGGCCTCCCAGCCCAGATCCCTCCTTGGCCTCTCCAGGTGAAGGCTGAGGCTCTTGTCCGTGCTCACCCCATGCTGGAATCAGGGTCCAGCTCCTTGAAGCTCTCGGCCATTGTGGTGGACAGAGCCATGAGGGGAAGCTTCTTCTGCAGGGAGGGGCAGGGCCGGCTGTGAGCTTGAGTGCCTATGCTTTGCCCACTGGGCCTCCCTTCACCCTGCCCTAGCCCATGGTGTGCCCCTTGGGGGCAGAAACCCACGAAGGCACTGGGCATGGACAGGGGAGGGGGGAACCCAGGAAGGCGACAGTCACAGGTAGAGTGGAAGCAGGATGATGACAAGGCATGGTGGGAGTGACTTCTCCCTGGGACCATGTACAGAACTCCCACCCCTCTGGGGTCCCCTTTCTTCCTCCCAGAAGCCACTTGTTTGGGGTAGAATGAATGACCAAGTCCCATCACAGGCTGGAAAACTAAGGACAGAGGGCTCGCTAAGGTCACACAGTTGGAGATGGAATGGAAGAGCTGGGAATACGCCTGGAGCGGGCTGTCCCCTGCCCCTGGACACATGTGGCTGACCAGCCACTGCAGAGCCTGGGTGAACCCGCCACAGCGCCTACTGCTCCCCCCCCCCCCCCCCCC